TCAGCAGGAGTGTTAATTAGCCACACTGGGAGCAGAAGTTTGCCCTTTCCCACAGTCAGCCTTCTCCTGCTTCTCATCCTTTGTTGCCTGTTTTGGTTTTTTTGTCCTCTCACGAGCCTCCTTAACCCTGAAACTGGGTACCAATCTTCTGCTTGCTTTGGCCTTTGTATGAAGATACCTTTCTCCATTTTTTATATAAAATACCTTGATTAGAAGTATATTGCCAACTGTGTTACCCTCCAATAACTGAATAAACAATTGTGGGCTTGAAATGAGGGGGGCAAATAATATTTTACTTTTCTAACTTCAGAAAGGGCATTCTCCTCTACTGAGTCAATTTGGCTTTGTCTTTGCAGTCTTGCTGTAGGTGTGCAAAGTAATTGTGAAGTGCTGCCAGATCTGATGGTGTCTTGTTGGGAAGGAATAAATTCCATCAATATGCATGGCAATAGAGATGAGACCTCATTAGAAATTCAAAATTAATTTTGCTTAATTCACAAAGTACATTGAACCAACTTATCTTCACAAATACATTTTTTGTTGTGTTTTAAATCCTCTCCTTTTTTTTTTTTTTGAGTATTATTAGCATTTACCAATTCATGTTCCACAGTTGAGAGAGCTTTTGGTGGGCAAGCAACATTTTAAATTATTTTTTTGAGCCATGAAACGACTAAAATTCATGTACAGTGAGAGAACTCTGATGGAGTTTGCTGATGACACCAAAATGAATGTAGAGTTTGACACTCCAAAAGAGAGAGTCACCCTTGAGGGTGAGCAACCTCTATAACAAGCAACAAAAACACTTCTGAAGCTTCTGAACAATCCTTATGAAGACATGAATATATGCAAGATGTTTAACATCTTCATAAGTGACCTGGATGTTGGGATCAAGAGCACCTTGATGAGTTTGCTGGTGACACCAAGACGAGTAGAGAAGTTGACACTCCAGAAGAGAGAGTCACCCTCCGAGATGACCTGGACAGGCTGGAGAAGTGGGCTAGCAGGAAACTTCTGAAGCTCCACAGGGAACACATGACCCAGCAGTGCAGTTCAGACTGGGATCTACCTGGCTGGAGAACAGCCCTGTGGAAAGGCACGTGGGGATCTGGGTGGATAACAGGCTCACCAGTGTGCTGCAGGGCAAGAAACTAACAGGATGCTGGGCTGCATCAACTGCAGAGATCAAGAAGTCATCATCCAGCTCTGCTTGATGCTGGTCAGACCACACCTGGAGTGTTGTGTTGAGTTTGGGTCCCTGCTCTACACAAAGGAAGGGACAGGCTGGAGAGGGTGCAGAGAAGGGCCACAAGGATGATCAGAGGACTGGAGGACCTGCTGTATGAGGAGAGGCTGAGAAAACTGAGTTTGTTCAGCCTGGAGAAGAGAAGGCTTCAGGGAGACCTTATCACCATGTTCCAGTACTTGAAAGGTGGATCCCAAGAGGATGGAGACTCCCTGTGTGCCAGTCACATGGAAAAGACAAGGGGTCATGGTCACAAGTTGCTCCTGGGGAGATTCTGATGGGACACAAGAGGTAAATATTCCCCATGAGGACAATCAAACATTGGAATAGGGAAGTGATGGATTCCCCCCATTGGACAGTTTTCAGTCTCAGCTTGACAGGATGCAGAGCCATCTCATCTCAACTAGAGCAGTACCTAGAAAGGGATGAACAGATGATCCAAGGATCCAAGGTCTCTTCCCACCTGGCATTCCATCATCATGTGATAAGACAGGAAAATGTTAATTCTACTCAAGACAACTGAGAAATAAGTGTAAATGGTTTCATTTTAAATAATTGATCCAGTTTATACTTGAAAAAGCAAAACCAGTCAAATACATCCTGGTTAATAGGAGCACTGGTTGTCTTTAACTTCACAGGAAACCTGTTTATTCACAGTGAACATTTCATGTTGAAGGCGAAAAAGATGACTAGTCTGGTTTGTAATACCTAGCTTCAAACTTGTCAAAGAGAAGCACAAAAAAGCTGCTTTGATAATGTCTCTGTTATTTCTTACAGTTCTGCCAGGCTTTTTTTCTACTTATAAATATTTCAGGCTGGTTGTTTTTACCTTCCACAACTTTTTCATGATGTGTCACAGCTCTGGGGTATGATCTGCTAAATAACTACAGCTTTGGCAGTCTCCATGGTGCTTAGTCAATCTTTAATTGCCTGTTCATGCTCACCTTAATGAAAATATAGATCTGAGACTTTTATTCCCCATTTCTATCTGTTTGTCTTCCT